AAGACGATGACAGAGCAACGAGGTATCGGCGAGTGCATGACCGGCCTCCGTTTCCTGCACTTCTTTCCTGTAGTTCCCCTAGCTCATCGAGCTCAGCAGATGTTTCTGCGGGTCCGAAGGACGACCGCCAGCTCGAGTCGCAGCGCCACGTGGCACGAACCGCAGAGCAAGGGCACGCGAGCATTGCTCGTGGTCAGAATCTGAGTCCCAGTGGTGCCTCACTCCGCTGGACCCACCAGCAGCCTCGAAAGTGGCGACAGTTTCACACAGGGATGGCGAGGTCTAATCTGAGTCCCCGTGGTGCCTCACTCCGCTAGACCCACCAGCAACCCTCGAAAGTGGCGACAGTTTCACAGATCGCAGCCCCCCAGAGATGGCGAGGTCTAACCTGAGTCCCCGTGGCCTCACTCTGCTGGACCCACCAGCAGCCCTCGAAAGTGGCGACAGTTTCGCAGATCGCAGCCCCCCAGAGATGGCGAGGTCTAATCTGAGTCCCCGTGGTGCCTCACTCCGCTGGACCCACCAGCAGCCCTCGAAAGTGGTGACAGTTTCACAGATCGCAGCCCCCCCCCAGAGATGGCGAGGTCTAATCTGAGTCCCCGTGGTGCCTCACTCCGCTGGACCCACCAGCAGCCCTCGAAAGTGGCGACAGTTTCACAGATCGCAGCCCCCCCCCCAGGGATGGCGAGGTCTAATCTGAGTCCCCGTGGTGCCTCACTCCGCTGGACCCACCAGCAGCCCTCGAAAGTGGTGACAGTTCCGCAGATCGCAGCCCGCCAGGGATGACGTGAAAGGCAAGAGAAGAGAAGAGGAGGAGCGAAGAGAGGCGGAGAAGGGAAGCAAGAGAGGAGAGGAAGAGGGAAGAGAGGAGGAGGAGGCGGGAAGGAAGGAAGGTGGAGACCGCAGTGCTCTATTCAAAACGAGTACCCAACGCAGGAGGGTTGGGAAAAATAAACAAGCACTCGTGGTAGCTGTGGCGCTATGAGCATCTATGCCCGTGGCCAGGCGAGGAAGACTGCATTGAATGTATAATGCCCGTGCCCGGGCAAGGATAACTACTTGTCTGAGTTTGAGTAGTCGCCCTCATTGGCGTCCGCTTGCCCAAAATAAGGCACCCCTCCGTTGGCGCTGTGTCTTTCTTGCCTCTATAGGGTACGTACTGCTTTACATCGTGCTTGAAGGATTGATTTCCATCTATCACTCGCAGCAGTAACGCGCGATCGATGCACCCCTTGGCATGGCCGTCGGCGGTCATACCTCGCGCATCACACCATTGTACGCTATGAACTACACCTCGGCCCATCATCTGCCTCATCCAGCTGATGCGTCCCAAAAGGGCACAGTAGGTCGGATTCTTCAAGTCCTTACTTGACAGGGATTTGATGACCGACTCAGCGTCCATCGCGAGGATGGCCTTAACGCTGAGACACCTAACTCCTGAATGTTCTCAAGTTGAATAGGTGTTCGGGCTCCAGCTCTAAGCTCACGCAGCGTTACGCTGGTAGGAGACCTGCCCTCAAGATAATGAGCGGCCGCCAGCGCTTCAGCTGAGAAGCCGGAGCGCACCTGCAAGCGATGTGACTTACAGCACGCATCACTCGGATGAACCACTGCCTCACCGCTGGGCGCGTGTCCACGCAGTAAAAGGTTCGCCCCTCTGAAGCCACATCCCATCACTTCGCCACCGTCGTCCCCATCGAGGCAAGGGCGTCCTGAGTCACTATGGAGGCCCCCTTCTCCTGTCGAGGTTAAAAGTTGAACTATTATGTTACTCTGACCTTGCTGCAGTTTGCGCGCGACAGCGATGAGAATTCGCACGCGGGGGATTGCGGGTTCCTGCGCACGCTGCAAGGATACCACGCAAACCATTCACCATGCATGAGCGATCCATGCATATGCCAAGGCACTACGTGAAATAATGCACAGGTCGGGCACTGTCTTCGTTGCCTTTTCTTCCGCCACAGCACCCGAAAGTTCTGGCTGCCGTATCGGGCGACGCTGTTTGATGCACTCACCCCGTTCTAGCCGGGCGCGGCCGCCCTCGGCCTCAGCGCATCGCGCGGCGCAAATGGTGCAACGGCGCATGTTCAAATTACACGCGCCAAACCTACCTTCTACACATGCGACGCACTTGTCAACGGCGCCCCCCACTCCTGCCACGTCGATGTCGTCGACGCGCGCGGCTGTTCGACGGTTTGGGCTTGTCGCACAATCTCCATCATACGATGCGGGTGTCAGCCCGACACCTCGCGCGATGGTCCTGAGCTTCAGCGAGAACGCCCCAGGGGCGTCTTCGGCGCCCGCGCCTGGTCGCTTAAGACACCGAAGACAACGCTTTGACTAGTCAAGAGACAAGAAGCCGGACAGTGCACACAGTTCCGAGGCAGAACTAAGTGGAAGAGTGAAGCATGCCATGCGCTCTTTCTCACCGGTGGCCTCTGCCAACTCACGGTACGCCAGACCCTTCAAGACAGCCTCGTCGATGTCCATGGACGCCATGACCCACTGCTACTCGCGCGCGGCCGCGCCGGCGAGCAGTCTCTGGCTTGCACGCCGATCTGCGCCTGAGAAGGTTTCTACGTCGAATGCCTCGACGCCCATGAAGCCACGAAGAACGCGGCGCGGTCGGATTGTTCGTTCCATTCCGCCGCTGTCGTTCTTGACAAAGTTCCACTTGCACGCGTAACCAAATGTCATGCAATTGGTAGCATTCTTGATGTCTTGCACCCTAAAGCATTTGTTAACATACCATGTGTTAAGTACGGTGCACAAGGCCTCAGATATCTTTGTCGGGTTGGCGTGAACTTCTGCCTTCGCCAGGAGGTCGTCTTCCTCGACAACTACAGCTATTGTTGCTGTGGCCGAGACATATACGCGCATTGCGGCTATTTGGTCGCTGCGCAGCGACTCGCATTGCTGCTCTGATAGGACGAGCTGAGCCATGTCAGCAATAATATATAGCTCGACATGACGGCCGCGGTCGTCTGAGTCGAGATCGCGCGTCTCGTCGCATTAACTAATCCAAGATACCAGAAAGGTTTCGTCGGCGTCGCGAATCCGAGCATAACGCATTTCTCGCAAGTGTCCTTGCTCTTCGCTGGCCACAGCCGCGAGCACGCGGTTGTCGGGAACAATTTCGGTGGGCACCGAACACAAAGACTCCCATGAGGGGGTCTCGAATAGTTCC